ATTTTGGTAAAAATTTCAATTTTAATCTTAACTTAAAATTTTCAATTTCAATTTCGATTTGATCTTAAAACATTACTTATAATGAAATAATAAATTATTTTATTACCTTAAGACAATCACTACCGACAGGAGTAGAAACAGCATAATGAATACTGACAGTTAATTCATAACGTGCTGGTTCTAAAGCAACCGGTACACATGCTGGTACCACATTTGATGGTGACCAGATACCATTGGTACATGTGAATTGTTGTGTAGCATTCTTTACATTAACAAACGTAAATTTTCGAGCACATTTAGCAGTACAAATAGTTGTGGTATCTTGTATTTGACATTCTTTTTCAACACTTTCTTCTCCGATCAATGACCATGGTGAACATGGTTTTGCTATAATTTTAACATTTTAATTCGACAATTAAAATATATGATATAAACACTTCCAACATTTCATTTAGCTCCATTAACAATTATAACATCTCCTCAAAATTCTTAATTTTCAATCTTTGATCTTTAAATTGGCATAAATTCAATAACATTAAAATACAATTAGAAAAAAAAAGACTATTTTTAAATATGATTTCTCCATAAATTACAGGAAAAATTGGACAAAAATTTGATCTATCTTATCTTAATGCATGTATATTTGATTTCTTTCCTTTTTTTTTTTTTTTTTCTTTTCTTTAATATGAAATGTTTTCTTATGAATATTGTAAAAATAAAAATAACAAATACAAACCTTGAAGAGATACTTGAAATTTGCATTTATTCCGATTTGATGCACTATCAGTAGCAGTAACTTCAACTGTAACATGTGAACTAAGGATGAGTAAAGCTTCTGATGGCTCAAATGTTACATCCGTAATATTTGAGGTATCCTGAATTACCATTTGTACTGTACTCTCGTTAAATGTAATTAATTTTTCAAATTCTCCTTCATTAGCCGGAACAATATATGAATCAGGACATTTCATTACCGGTGGTTGCGTATCTGAAAAATAAAAATTACTTTTTGATTTGAAATTTTATTCTGATAAAAAATAATTTGGAAAAAAAAAGAAAAAAAAAACGAAAAGGAAAAAAAAAAATTACTAAAATAAATTATACCAGGTATTCGAAGTTGTACAACACATTCCGCTTCATTACCAGCATCATCAAATGCTGCATAAATAATATCCATATCATGTGTAATCATTTTTGGTGGTTCAAAACCATCCGGTGTTACACGTATATATGCTACTGAACCAGAATTATCAGCTGCTGTAGGTACTTCATAAATAGCCGGTAAAAGTTGTCCATTATCATCTGTTAAAATATAAACCGGATTTGTTGGACAATTATTGAATGCTGGTGGTTCATTATCGACACATTGTGGTACAGATGCATTCCAACCAACCTATATTTGAATAAATGATAAAATGATAAAAATCCATGTAATTAAAAATTAATCAATAGTAAATTTGAAATGAAAAATTTTAGTTAATTAATTGAAAAAAATAATGAATAACCTGTAAATGAGAAGGAATTTCATGAGCAACTGAAAGTGGTGCCAAACATCCTTGCAAATCAAAACGAATGCAAGGATTTTGCTCATATTCGGTAACACCAAGAAGGATATAACGTGCTCGTAGTGGTGGATTTAGCTCAAATTGATGCATTGCATTATGATTTCCAGATGGTGTTTCAAATTCCTGTAAAAATAGCACAGTTATAAAATTATCAAAATTATCAGATTATCAAAATTCATCTTTTTTCCTTCTCAATACATGAATATTTTTCATTGGGATTTCATCATTAGACATTTAGCAATTTTAATATATTGCATGAAAAATATAACGTACAATTGGATATGTGTCATAATTTTGGCTGTATTGAACTTTGTAAAATAATTGCATTTTGGTAATATGACCACGTAAATGACCACTACCAGCAACGCCAGCCATACGTAATGTTGTCAGCGTGTAAATACGTTGTAAATCTACGGAAAGAAAGATGAATGCATCTTTAGAACCACACCAACCAGTAGATGATAATCGAGCCTGAAATTGAAATTATAAGAATGAATAGTAAAAAAGAAATAAAGATTGAAATGAAAAAAACTTTCAAATATCTAAAAATCTTTGCAAAAAATAACAAACTATGAAGAACAGTTTGATAATTTTCATCCTTTACCTTATGAGGTTCATAACCCCAAGTAGTCGAATCAGAATTATCAGCAAAAGCACCATCCGGAATGAAACCGGATGATATTCCAACATCTTCCGCTAAGACACAAGCTGTTCCAAGCGTGCAATTGATCGTATCAGACGGAAATGGCTTATAGCCAGCTCGATTACAGGTAAATTTTGCCTGTGCACCTTCTTCTACCGAATCCAGTTGAACTTGACCATCATCCGGAAAGCCGGGATCAACGCAAACAGGTCCTGCATGCGGAAAAAAAAATTGATTTGCGCTGCATAGATGAATAATAGCGGATCTAGAAATTCATATAAACTCCATTTTTTCAAATTTTCAATCTTATTAATTTTTAAAATAAGCTAACCTTCACATCGCAAATCGCCAAGATCCCAATTACCATCGACATTACATCGAATAGTCCGATCATCATAACTGGATTTACCGATTAAACTATACGGTGGTCTACAACTGAATGTAAATGCTGATCCTACCTGTAACAATTAAAACTCTAGCCTATTAATTAAACAGTAAAATTGAGCAGTTCTTTGAAATATGAAAAAAATAAACATAAAATTAAAAGGATAATTCATTAATTAGTTAAAATTGAAAATTAAATGATAATTAGAAATACTTTTATTTGTCATATATTTCAAATTTTCCAAAAAAGAAAATTATTGAAAAAATTAAATCAAAATAATATCTAACTTTGTAAGAGTAATCGTCGCCTTCGTAAATGGCACCAGCAAGTGATGGTGGTGGACCACAGTCCACCAATGGACAATCAATTTCCGGTCCTGATAACCAGTAATCTCGGCCATCTTCTTGCGGATCATAAATACACTGACGGAATGATGATAATAGTGAACTACTTGCTATAATTAACACTTTTTTAATATCAACTATTTAAATTAATTAAAAAAAAGAAAAGGAAAGAAGATATTGTAGAATACATCATATAGTCTGATAGCTTCAATTAAATAAATGAACAAAATATTCAACTCCTCTTCTTCTCTGCTTCAAAAAAAAAAAAGAAAAGAAAAAAGATTTATTTAAAAATAAAATTGTAGTTTTATTTTTCATTAGATTTTCAAAAAATTCACAAAAATTAATAAAAATGATAATCACTTTTCTTTTATTACAATAATTATTAATGCATAATTTTATGAAAGAAGAAATTTGATAACATTGAATAATTTGCATATAAAAAGATAAACATATGCAAATGACTTTATTTCTACCTGGTCGATTTTGTTGACTGCAAACAATCGAAACATTACGTCCATATGCGATGGTGCTATTTTCAGGTGCAACAAATAAACCAATCGCAGAATTATTACGCACACCTTGACATGTTGCTGCTAAAATTGTTTTAATTGATATATGACCATTTCCACATTTTAATTACATTTAATTAACAAAGTTGGTCTAATAATTAAATTATGCTGTAATTATGGCATTCATAATATAAAGAGTAAATTCAAAAAATGATTTTTTGAAAAAAAAAGGAAAAATATTTAATTTATCAATTGAAAGTTTTCCATCATATCATTTGAATTTTATAATTTTGTTTATTTGAAAAAAAATTTTAATTGTTAAATTGGAATAAAAATTTAACATACGAAGACAAAATGGTGCTGTACCATTCCAACTACCATCTTGCATACATTTCAAATGGCTTGCACCCATCATCTATAAAATTTTCATTCAAAAATTTAATTTAATTAAAATGAATAATTATAAGGCAATAATAATTGGATAAAATTAAAATTTATAAAAAAAAAATAATTAATTACCTGATATGCAAAATCACATTGAAATTGTACAACCATTGGATAATGAAATGTTTTTGCAGTTGAAAGAAGTAAACCATTTTTTGGTGATGATAAATTAGCACATATTCGTGGTACACATGTTTGATTATATCGGATAACATCTAATGCATTTAAGCCTGTTTCACCATCCTTAAATTTATAAAAAATTTTAATAAATATTAAACAAAATTATCGATTAAAAATGTAAAAATTTAATTAGTAAAAAATTTCCCAATTCATTTAAATATTATAAATGAAAATGAAACCTTTACATGTACACCACCCTGTCCATCTTCAGTAAGCAAATCAAAACCAATTTCACATGCACAACGATATGATCCTTGTGAATTAATGCATATTTGTTCACAATTACCATTATTTTGTTCACATTCATTTACATCTATAATAAAATTTAAAAAGTTTTAAAATTTTAATGAAATTCATTGAAAGTTTCAATATTTATCTAATATAATTAAATTTTGACAATTCATTAATTTTTGAAAGAGAAAGAAAGAGAGAGAGGAAAAAAAAAAAAAAAGAAATAAGAAAAAAAAGAAAATTACCGAAACAATTTGTTTTATGACAACCAAGAATATCCAATTTCATGCATGGATTGTTAAAAAATTCTTCAATTGTAAGTTCTAATACACGAACTTCAATAGCTTGCGGTAAAACGAGTAATTCACCACCAACAATTGCAACATTTCGAGTTATCAATTTCTAAATAATTTATAAATTCTTTAATTTTCACTTTCTTTTTTTTTAATCAAAAAATTACTTGAAATTCAAAAAAAGAAATGGTTAGGATATTTATGTTATATATTTGATTTAAATTTCATATCAATTTTTATCGATATACGAAAAAATTATGTGATAAGGAAAAAAAATTCATAAGATGAAATATGTAATGATAATGATAATGGACTAATTTGTATATGCTAAATTTGATCATAATCTAACAATGATACGAATCACTTTGTTAATCGTAAAATCAATCCTTAACAAATTTTATCAGATTAAATGTTGCATATAACATAGGATTCAAATTGATGTTTTTGAAATTTATCTTTTAATAATATTTTTGTTACGTGTTAATTTCGTGTTTTATAATTCTTAATGAATATATTAATGGCTAATATTGTTTCATTTATCTAAAATATTTAATTATTTAAATTTGAGATGAAAATAAAGAAAATTTCGCAAATTCTATTATCACATTCCATAAGATACATTTTAAGAAATACAAAAATTTCCCATTTTATGATAAATCTTTAATTCTGTTGATAGTTAAAATTTCCCATAATTATTGGAAAAAAAATATTTGGTAAAAAAAAAATTGAAAAATTTTATTTCAAAATTGTAAACAATATCAAAAAAAAAAGGAAAAAAAAAGAATTATATTAAAATAAGAATTCAATTCCAATGTTTATTATTAACATAACTTACAGTAATATTAGCAGCAACAAATGGTATCAATGGGACACCGGTACGATTTGAATATTTCAAACCGATAACAGTTGGATATGCACCATTTGCAGTTTTTTCGATACGTATACGTTCGACAACTTTTGGAACCGCAAAAACAAACGTAATTTTTCGATTGGTATCATTAGGATTTCCACACCAACCTGTAACAATTGTCAATTGTCAACTTTTTTTTTTTTAAATTATCCCCAAGAACTCTCAGATTGTATAATATTTGCTCAAGAATATCAAAATGAAGGATATTGTCAAATAATTCTTATCTTATCAAATCTTATCTTATTTCTTATCTTATCAGTATTACAGATTAGTTGTTTAATGTTAATCGATTCATTTCTTTATTTTTTTTTTTTAAACAAATCACTTTAGCATCATCTCTATTTGATAAACAATAGCATTGCCAAAACCAAAAAAAAAATATAATGACACAAAACGATTAATTGTATAATATTGTTAAATTGGATTTCAAAATTAACAAAATACGATTGCATTTTTTATTTTTAATCATACTATTAAATTTCAATTTTAACATCATTAAATCTTTGTCAACTTTAATTTCTCGAAAATAAAAAATGTCAATTTTTGAAATTATACCAGTTGTTGCATAATCTTTCGCACGAAAACCATCCATTTCACTACTTCCCTCAGCAGTAAGGGAATTTAAAACGGATGCTGTATTACATGCTATAAAAGAAAGACAATCCTTATATGCCGGAATTACAATTTTCTGCCTGAGAAATAAATAAGTATTTTAGGATTATTTAAAAAATAAATATTTGAAGATTAATTGAGAAAATAAATATTTCAGGATATGAAATGAGACATTAATTAGTGGTGCAATATGAATAATTAGATGTCATACATAATTGTGCTTGAAATCCGGAAAGACATTGGCAATGATAACCACCCGGCATATTAATACATTTTGTACTCTGAATGCTACAAATAGCTGATCCTTCAGCACATTCATCAATATCTTGACATTCCGGTACATCACTGAGCGTTTGATTAGCAAGACATTTTAAGGAATCCGCACCAACGGTACGAAATCCTGGTTGACATTCAATTCGTGCTAAATCACCAAATTCGAATCGTTCACCCGTTACAACAACACCATTAGCTATTAATGGTACATGGGTGCATGTTAATTCTAAAATGAATAAATAAATTTATATTTTCATATATTGATTATATTAAATATATTCAAATTTAATTAGTTTAACTTAATAAATAAAAATTAACAAATATAATTTACATGAAAATAGTAGCAAAATTTTTTCACTTTTGGAAAAAAAGAAAAATTGTAGGATAGGAAAATTAACCAATTGTTATTTTATTTCAAATATATTCCATTTGAAACAAATTGAAAGTGACAATTTAATTAAGTATTTAGTAATTAGTATTAGGCAGAAAATATTGGATAAGTTAAGGAAATTATAATTATTTCAAACTATTTCTTATTTAATTTTTATGTCAAGTAAAATTTTGACATAAAATTTTTAACTTTTTTTGTTTGAGCAAATTTTACAAATTGCCAAAATTACGACTTCAATTTTTATCATATGAAAAATTCAAAATGACACGACAAACTTTTGCAGTATGGTTGAGCAAAGGACCATTCGCCGGTGGAGAGACATAAAAGTGTTGCAGCACCGATTCGACGAAATCCAGCAGCACATTCAAATCGAAATACAGTACCGTAACCAGTACCATCACCAAATTCTAATATTCTTTCACCATTTAAGAATGGTGCTAATGCAGGACAAGTCATTGCTATAAATTTAAACATCGAAAAGTAAATTTAAAAAAATTCTTTTTTAATTTAATTATTTGTGGTATTAAATTTAAAAAAAAAGCCTTGCTTTGATAAATTTATGAAATCAAAAATTTTCAAGTTAGAGAAAAAAATGAAATAATGAAAGCAATAAATCTTTAAAATTTTAAAAATATTTTAAGAAAGATTAATTGAAAATATTAATTGTTTAATAGATTTTAAGACATTTTCAGAACTTTAGAATATCTCAGGCAATGGAATAAAAGCGATAAATTCTTAAATCTGAAAATTATTTGGAGAAAAATTAATTGAAAATATTAATTATTTGATTACATTTCAGAATATTTTCAAAACATCAAAATATCTTAAGAAATAAATGCCTGACCTTTACAAGATGGTGTTAATGTCCATCGTCCTTCATCGGTACAATAAATTTCTCCTGATTCTTTACCGGTTGAAAAATCGAAACCATCATAACATGTATATTTTGCCGATCCACCATATGAAACATTCGTTGCTGATGATGCAAATCCATTAGCAATTTGTGGAACAGCCGAACAATAAACCGCTATAATTATATTTAATTTTATGAAAAGTTTTTAATTTCAATTTTGATAATTTTCAAAAAACATATAATGAAAAATTTTTAATAATTAAAAAACAAAAAAATTAATCAATAATTTATATATTGATACGTTGACAATCTGGAATATGATCTTCAGTCCATTTTCCTCCTAATTGACATGTTATATCGAACATTTGTCCACGTCCAGTACGAAATTCATAGCCACGAGGACATGATGCCGTTACTTTTGTTCCAAATGCTGATGCTTTTGTTGATAGTGACACAAGTTTTGGTGTTTGCAGTGGTGGACAATCTACAAAATCAAACATTTAAATTAATTTTTTAAGGAAAAAAAACAAACTTTGATAAATTATATATAAATTTTTGTACATATATCAAATAATAGAAGAATTTACTCGTAGAAAAAGTAATATTCCATCCGAGACCATTCCTAATCGAATTAGTAGTAAAAACAATTTGAACAATTCCGGTCTGAGCAAAAATACTTTTCGGTGGTCGTGAAATGGCGGAAAAGCCATCTCCTGGATGTAAAGCTCGACCGCCTTCAATTTCCTCGAACATCTACAAATGTTTGATGAATTTTAAAACATTTAATTAAAAATATGTAAATCATAAAAGCCCTAAAATGATGAAACATATTAATAATTTGACAAATAAATGAAAATGAACCTGTAAACGATCATCCTCTGCAACATCAAAACTATTAATAGCAAAAGCTGTTGGTTGTTCTGAGTTTCTATCTGGTAATTCTACAGTATAAACGCATCTCTGAGAATTTGGGTACGGTATTCGAGTATAACCCGGTGATGTTATAATTCCTTTATCCAGACGAATTCGATTTGAGCATCCTGAAAAGAAAAAAAAAGAAAAACTTTAACATTATTATTTTGTAATTTTGAAAAAATTTTTTTATAAATTAATTGGGAAAAAGAGCCATGATAAAGTTTACAAAAATTTAATAAAGAAAAGAAAAAAAAAAACAAACAAACAAACCACGCTTGTATGTTATGCTAAATCCTCGTCCACTACGAGCAAAATTTGAATAAAAATAAATATACAATTGTGATTGGGTTGAAATGATTAATTGTGGATGCACAAATGTTCCAGTTAAACGTGCCAGTACTGGTGCTAATGGAGTACCACCATCATAAATTTGTAAGAAATCATTAACTTTTTCCAAATCAAGTTCTTCAATCTGAAAACCTCATTTGTTGATTAATTTATAAATTAAAAAAAAAATGATGTTCCTTGAAATTTCAAATTAAACGTTATTGTTTAATTTCAAAATAAAATGAATGTGTTCTATTTTTTTTTTTGGTTTTCAATTTTTTTCGTCAACTTTTTTCACATTTTACCTAAATAATTCTGCTAAACATGCTCATCATATTAATAATACCTAATTAATGATTCATTAATTTATTACACCAATATTCCAATTTTGTTAACATTTTAAAAACTATAATCGAATTTTAAATTATTAAATGTAATTTAAATAATTGAAAAGAACAAACATCAAGTGAAATTAGTTGTCCTGGATGAGCATCAATCTTCCATACACATTCCACACCATTTGGATAATTCTTTGGAAAATCTGGACTACTAAATGTTTGCCCATATGGTTGAGCTTTTAAAACACCTCCACATGACACGCTTGCTGAAAAGGTTATAATTTTTTTTTTTTTTTTTCAATATATAAATAATTAGCACAATTATTAAATGAATTAAAGTTAAAATAGCATAAATAAACTTACCGGCTCTCCAATTAGCTTCAAATCCACGTGCCTGAATTTGTGCATCACTGCTAAATCTGACAACCATTACATTGGTACTTGAAATTAATGTTTCAGGTTTTTTTGATCCGGAAAGAATAGCTATAACAACGGATGAATTTTCCGCTGGACCACCATCCAAAATTGTAACAAAATCTCCATATTCTTCCGTTTCAAATGCGTCAAATGTTATCTGCACATAATTTCAATGATAATTTTTTCCTCAATTTAAATTTTACGAACTTTATTTAAAGAAAAAAAAACAAAATCCGCTAGTATAAAGTTGGAACTTTATAATCATAAAAATTCAAATTACAATTGATTTTGGAACAATTTTCAATTTCAAACAAAATCTCTGAATCCTTTTTCTTTTTCTTGTTTTTTCTTTTTCCGTTTTAATCTTTGAACAAAGAATTCCGGAATTTATTGATTCCATACGAGCATTTTTCACCAACACATTGTAAAAATAGCTTGATTTGGTAATGTTTTTCTTTTTTCTTTTTTAAATTCCATAAATTAAATTAATTCCGATTTTTAATGAAATTTATCACAAATATTACAAACCATTTATGATTAATTCATGCAATGAATTTAATAAATTAAATAATGAATTTTAATATTTGTCATACTATTATTAATTGGGATTTCTATAAAATGGATAATAGAAAATGAATATCTTATATTACTATACAGGAAGGTAGGAGATAAATAAAAGAATGAATGAAAAGAGAGGAAAAGAAGATTAAAGAATTATTCATATCTATATTATTATGACGACATACATGAATCCGTGAATTGATTGGTCCTTCCATAACCCAACGACAATTAGCATTAGCATTATATGGTGATGGATAGTTTGGTGATTGTATTTTGCCTGATTCACCTTTTTCATATTTCAAACATGTGATCACTTTTGGTGATGCTATAAACTTTATTTTTATTATAAAAAAAAAAAATTTTAAATTTCTAAAAAAAAAAATAAATCCCATAAATTAATAATATAAATCCAGTATATAATATTTGCATTGATAAGATGGGAAAGATGAGAAAGAAGTAAAAAGGAAAAGAAAAAAAGAAATGAAAAATTCCATTTAAAAATCAAGGTTATAGATTGAAATTTTGATTAATTTGACAGTTTTAAATTATATATGAAACAGGTAATAGTGAAAAATTTACCGGGACAATTAAATTCATCACTGTAATCACCGCAATCATTGATACCATCACAATGAGCTGAATGTGATACACATTTACCATTTTGACAGAAAAATGAACCTAAAAGAATTTAGTTAAATTTTTTTTCCTTTTTACATTTATCATTTTAATAGAAAAATGAACTTAGAAAAATTTAGTTAAATTTTTCTTCTTTTTTAACTATCTATGATAAAATTATTTCATTCGATTATATAATAAAAATTTTAATAACTTATTTTTGTTAAATTTAAAAAAAAGTGTTAGATTAAATTAATGAGTGTATTTAAGTATCATTCAGATAAATAACTTTTCTTTGCTAATGATATAATTTTAATATCAAATATAATATTGGTTTATTAGCCTCCCGAAAATGAAAAAAAAAAAAAAATCCACGACAATTGATCATCATGTTGTCCCGTATTTCCAGATAGATTTTCCTACTGTATGCAATATTACTAAATTATATGTTAGCAACCTGTCTTCTACTTTCTCTCCTCCAATTTTCTATCTTTTTCCATATCTTAACAGATCGAAAATCTATTAAATTTTCAAAAATTGATTAACCAGAAATCAATCAATGAATGTTCTAATTTTTGTGAGAATAATTAATTCCTTTTCAACTATTAAATTTTCGAAAAATTTACATTCACTACAATAATTTACATTTAAAAATTAAACTTTCGAAAGCAAAAAATGGAAATAAAAATTTAAAAAGAGAAATCATAGTTTGCTAAATTTTCAATAAATTTTTTATCAAACTAAAAAAAAAAATTTTTTTTGCAAATATTTTTTACAAAAAATATTTCATTTGTTAATTAAATGGATTAATTTTTCGTTTCTTTTTTCTTTTTTTTCATTTTTATAAATAATGTATTCGTTTAAATAACAATAATAGAATTAAATAGAAAACAAAAATAATAATTAAACTTTTTTTTTTAAATATGAATCAATTTGAATAAGAATGATGAAGATGAAGTTCCATCCATTTATTCATTGCATTCATTTTATTTATTGTTTTAATCGGGTGATTGGTACAAGGACCGATGCCAAGGTCATCTAAGTACCCCTATCTTTCCCATCTTACCTCATTTCATTTTATACCTATCCCGAAAAATTTTTCAATCATCTTTCTCATGTACTTCTTTCAAATATCTTTACAAAATATTCCTCTTCTTCTTTCTTATTATTATTGGCTTACCTTTCATACAGGCAGGCAATGCACATACAAATGGTAATAATGTATTACACATTTCTAAACTCCACCGTAATCCACCAGTTATTGTAATCGACACCTATAAAATTGTTATATTTATTCGCTATCATATTTTATCAATTAAATAATAAAACTTTCGTTGCCTTAGTTCATCATTCAACTATGATAAGTTCAAAAATTGTTTGATCAATTCATTCGATCTGATTCATTCTTCGAATAATTTTAATAATTATTAATTGTTCCATATGAAATAACAATAGTTCATTCTTTATCTATCAAAATTCATATATTTTTAAATGATAATATAACAAAAATTTCTTCGTATTATCATTTCATTCCATCTTTCGATCTTTTCTTTGTTTTTTTTTCTTTTCTTCTCTTCCTTTTTTTTTTTCAATATTTAAATTAGTTTAGATCTATAAAATTCAAATTTTTTGAAACAAAAAAAAAATGGAATACAGATTACTAAAATGATTGACTAAAATTACAATAATACCTCAAATATACTTTTAAGTTTATCAAAGTGCAAAATTTCTTTACATTATTATAAAACAATTGTAGATTAATAAGGTAGTAAGAATAACCTTTGCACAAGTACCACCTCTATAATCTGGTTGTCCATCATTCCAAAAACCAACATAACGTGATATTACAGTACCATCAGACCATAAAAAATATGCATCTTCATCTTCGGTTTGTTGTGCAACAACACCTTTAATAAAATAATTTTAATTAAATTTTATAAATTCCTTTGATTAATAACTAATTATCAAGGATGTGTTAATTTCAACAAATTAATCCATACCAATCCAGAATTCATTACGATTTATTGAAAGAATTTTCTGCTGCCGATTGACTAAACGATGCAAAAAGTTATTTTCTCCGAATGATTCGATACGAGCAAGTTGACTTCCGTACCTATTATTTAAAAGTATAACGATCATATCATATCATATCATATCACATGGTATTAACACAACATTATTTGAAAACTTAAAATTGAAATAAACTATGGAACAAAATCAAAATTTTGAAAAAAAATCAAAAATGAAAATTAAAAATGAATCAGAATTGAAACAAAATTGAAAATCAAAATATTATTTAAATAAACAAATAAATAAGCAAATAAAACATATATTAAATTAAAAAACGAAATTATTTCTCAAAGATCAAGCTTTCCAAGTTTAAATCTCAATTAAAATTGGATTTAAAAAATAAAACTTATATATATAATAACATATGAAACATTCCGATTTTTTTTTTTTTTTGTTCAGATATATTTAAAATTTTTAAACGAAAAAAGAATATGAAAGTATGCATCAATACATGTCACAATTACCAGTTAATAAGCTATTTCGTATTTTCATTTAAGAAGTATCCTTTCAAATTTATGAACTGTAAAAAGAGAACCGTAAAAAAAGTGAAAAGAAAAAAATTTGTTTAGGACTAATTTAGCAACGGTTTCTTATTATTATTATTATTAATAATAATAATAGTAATAATAATATTAATAATAATAATAATAATAAAAAATAATAATAATAATGATAATAATAATAGTAAAAATAATAATAATAATAATAATAATAATAATAATAATAATAATAATAATAATAATAATAATAAATGAACAATAATGTTTCAGATTTTTAAATAATTTAAAAACTAACAAATTAATTAATAAATCAGTTAATCATCATTAAATTAATATACTTATTTTACCTGGAACAAAATAATAATGCCTGTGGCCATGATCGTTCAATTGTATAAACCCGAAAACATTTCGACCTGTATTTTTCCCATCCTTGTGCACATTCTAAACCAATATCTGATACTGCATATTTTGAATTAGTTACATTTTTCATACCATTTTCCTAAAAATTTTCAACAAAATTAAAAAAAAAAATAATAATATAATTACATAATTTACATAATATGTTAATATAATAACGATAAAAATATATTTCATTTTAAAATCTCACTTGTTCAATAGTAGTAGTAGTAGTAGTACTGATAATTGTACCACTAATAATTGGTGATAATGAAATAGCAGAATTAGAAGGAGGAGAAATAGTAACAGTAGTAATATTATTATTTGTAAAAATTGTTGCAATTAACAGATTTTGTTGTAGTAATAATAGCAATATGAATGGTAATGTTAATCGTAATCGTTGTTTTTGTGGTATAATAAATAAATGATATGGTTGAAAAATTATCATAGTAAATGATAATGATAATAACATATGGTTGAAGTGTACACATATACCATCCACCGCAGGTAAATGATGATTCCACCAATGTCGCTAAACGTCTATTTGGTTATTCAGGCTGTGTCTTACGGATTTTGCAATCAGGGCAAGAAGAAGATGAGCGAAATAGTCCAGTTGACCTCATTAATTTGACCTTCCATCTGCTTCATTTCAACCTTCAAATAAATGAGAGAATGTGCCATCTTGTCTTTCTTCAAAACTTTCATAACAACAATCGTTACCAAATATAAATATACCAAATCTATCCTCTCGATTCGTCATTCATTCTTGTCATCCATTCCTTCTTTTTTTTTTTTTTTTCTTCTCTCTTTTCTCCTTATTTTCTTTCCTTCTCCTCTTTTATCTTTATCACATCCACTTTCTCTTCCCTATTCCAATACTTAAATTTCAAGCAAACATTATCACTTCATCATATTCCCACAAAATTTCCACTTTCACTCTCATAATGGTTGAATATGGTGCAATAACGATAATGATAATGATAATGGTAACGATAATGATAATGATGATAATGAACAAATACAATATATCAAATAGCTTTTCACTATGGTATTTTGATAATTTTTGCAACTGTTGATTGAATTTTTCTGCACTTATCAACTTTTTTTGTTGCATCTTTCCTTTTTTATATAAATAAAAAAAAGAAAAAGAAAAACTCTTTGATATTTTGAGTTTCATAATTAGTACAATAATCAATTTTATTAATAATGGCTTTCATATTTCTTACATTTCAAAAATTGGAATGATTGCTATCATCTTTTAATAGATTTTTAGATTATTATCAGACTATCAGATTTTATCTGTATAAGAGAATATGGATCGAATATAGATTTTGTTGGTATAAATATCTTGATGAAACTATCATTATTTTTCGCAGAAATGTCACATTAATTTTGTTAATTTTCATGTTCATAAAAAATCTGAAATTGAACTAACATTGTTGATGTTTTTTCTTTCTCTTTTTTTTTTTTTTTGGGGTAATCTTTGTGTTAAATTTTGTAATTATGCAAAATTTTAAAGTTCATATTTTTTTTTCTTTCGTTCACTTTTGCCTATTAACCGTTTATAAACCAGCTTTTGTGTTTTAAGTCAACTTATTGAACTTCTTCCAGAGTAATTTTCGGATTAAACCTAGCATATTGTAAACTTTTAAAAGGTATGTTAACACTTAGTTGACAAGTTAACAATATGATGAAACAATGGAATTGGATTTCATGGATGAATTAACATTAATCATTTTTTAAATATCAGTTTTATTAACTTTCGATTTTCTTTTATTAAGAGCAAAAAAAAAAAAGAAAACGGTAGAACTAGGTAAAAACAATGAAACCACTTCGCATATAGTAATAGTTCTGTCATGTAATCCAAATACTGAATAACACCTAAATATAAATATTGCGCAATCATTTTCTTTTCCTATACAATTATTTATAATATTGTGACAAATTTTGCTGCGCATTTGTTAAATATAATAAAAAATATGCAATTTGAAATAAAACAGGTATTGTTAAATGAGGAAATTAAAACAAACAAACATAAATAGTATTTATATTTAGCAATTATATTTTAACTGAAATGAAAAAAGAAAGGAAAAACATCGATAAATTTGTATAAAAAGGATCAGGATTGGAAACTTAAAATGATTATTAACTGGTAAATATGAAGTAAAAATTAGTTTACAAAAATTAGGGAATTGAGTAAGCTGTACTGAAATCTTTTATGCACAAATTAATAAAGATAATAATAGTAATTAATAATAATAACAATAATACTAATAATAACAATAACAATAAGAATGACAATAATAATGGTAATAATTAATAATAATAATAGCAATAATAATAATAATAATAATAATAATAATAATAATAATAATAATAATAATAATAATAATAATAATAATAATAATAATAATAATAATAATAATAATAATAATAATAATAATAATAATAATAATAATAATAATAATAATAATAATAATAATAATAATAATAATAATAATAATAATAATAATAATAATAATAATAATAA